CCCCCCCCCCTTACACTCTATTGGCGACAACTGATCTTACTTCCGTTCCCGCTGAAAACCATGTGATACCTCCAAAAAATTCTCCGACCCCCTTCCCCTAGTGATCGTTCCCCTAAAGCTTCCTTTCATCTTACAGAAAAGGATTGAGGAGCATCGCAGCTCTACTTCCCCTGTTGGGTGTCATGTGGCTGCTGGGGTTTTTCATCCACTGGAGTGAAGTCCTTGCGTATTTGTTCATCATACTCAACTCGACCCAGGTACGCACGGTTCTACGGCTCCACAGTTGCCGATATTGATCAAGTTTGCCTCATTCGTGTTCCTTTTAATTCTTATAGGGTTTGGTGTTTTGTATCTTCCATGGCTTCTTGGATGACCAGGTATTTTCCAACTTTACTTGTGCAGCTTTGGTGTAAGTTTGATGCAGAATATCGTATTCTATTGTATTCCTTGTGGCGATCCTCTGAATTGATGGCTTATGCGGTAAAACCGCGGCACTCAGAACTTTAAATAGAATTTTCTATACTTTTTTTGTTGCAGCGTTTATTGCAGTGTCTCTTTATTTGTTACAATAGGTGAGAGAGAGTTTGCTCAGATCCATTAGAAGGACACGATTAGGAATGATGACCCAAATTGGGAGATCATCTATTGTATCAACAACTACTCAGTTGTCACCTGGAGGTATTAGTTCTTATTAGCTCATTCTTGCTTTACGCTGTCTTGTACCGTGCAGAAGCGTTTGTTGCCATATACGTTTAGGTCGTACAATGTGCGTCCTCACGAGACAGATATATCTAGCAGTGAAGTGTTGAAATAAGTTTTCCATGGGCGGGATTTTTCACTGAACCTATCTTTCCTTCTCTCTTTTCTTTTCACTTTTTTTCCCCTTTCTCTATCCTTTCTTATTCTTTTCCCTTTTCCTCTTTACCTCTCTCTGGCTATCTTTGGCTGTCTTTTTAATCTCATCCGGATCCACCTTATTCCAGACTATTTTTACTCTAGGGACCGGTCATTATTTATCGTCGGGGGGAAGGCGCTGGAGAATTTTGTTTGTGTCACGATAAAAGTTACCTGATCCTCCATAAGTCTCTGTTATATTCTCAAGAGACCCACCCACCCCACCCCACCCCCGTCCTTATTAGCAATTAATTGGTAGTCAATTTTCTATAGCCTTCTTTATACTCTGTTGGTGACGACCGTACCCCTGAAAACCATATGTTCCCTCCAAA